CCCACATACAGTCAACTGATCAAATATGCAAAGGCAATTCAATGGAGAAAGGATAGTCTTTTCTGTAATGATTGAATGTACTGTAATCGTTGAATGTCCATAGGCAAAAAAAGTTAATCTAAACATAGATTTTACACCCTTTACAAAAATGAATTCAAAGTGGATCATAGGCCTAAATGTAAAACACAAAACTATACATCTTTGAGAAGAAAACATAGGAGAAAATCTATGTGACCTTGGGTTTGTCAATGAATTTTTAGATACAACACTGAAAACAGAATCTATGAAATAAAAGAAAAAACTGTTAAGTTAGACTTTATTAACATCAAAAACTTCCTCTCTGCAAAAGGTGCTGTTAAGAGACTAAAAAGGCAAGCCACAGGCTGAAGAAAATATTTGCAAAACATGTATCTAATAAAAAGACTTGTATCCAAAATATACAAAGAACTCAAACCTCAACAATAAGAAAACAAACATCCCAAATTAAAAATGGGCAAAAGATCCAAAGAGATAATGCACCAGAGACAAATAAACATATGAAAAGATGCTCAACATTATTTGTCGTTAGGAAATCACAGTTTAAAAGAATGAAAAAATGAGCTAACACCACATATCTATTAAAAGGACTAAAATCCGGGACGCCTGGGTGGCTCAGTGGGTTAAGTGTCTGCCTTTGGCTCAGGTCATGTTCCCATGGTCCTGGGATCATCGAGCTCTCTGCTCAGCAGGGAGCCTGCTTCTCCCTCCCATTCTGCCTACTTCTGCTCTCTCTCTCTCTCTCTGTCAAATAAATAAATTTTCAAAAATAAAAAAAATAAAATAAAATAACTAAAACCCAATAAACTGACAACAGCATTTCTTGATAAGGATGCAGACAAACATTTTCACTCATTGCTGGTGGGAGTGGAAAATGGTAGAGCCACTTTGGAAGAAAGTTTGGCAGTTTCTTACAAAGCTAAACATAGTTTTACCATATGATCCAGCACCCATGTTCCTAGGTATTTACCCAACTGATTTGAAAACTATGTTCACACAAAAACCTGCATGCAAATGTTCAGCAGCTTTAATCACAATTGCCAAACACTAGAAACAACCAAAATGTTCTTCAATAGGTGAATGAATAAACTGTGGTAAGTGAATACAGTAGAATATTATTCGGAGATTAAAAAAAGAGCTATCAAGCCATCAAAAATTATGGAAGACCCCTAAAGTGCATATTGCTATGTGAAAGGAGCCAATCTGAAAAGCTATATACTGTATGATTCCAGCTATATAACATTCTGGAAAGGGCAAGCTATACAGTAAAAAGGCCAGTGGTTGCCAGGGGTGCGAGAGGAGGGAGAAGGGTTTAATAGGTGGAACACAGAAAATTTTTTTAGGGCAGTGAAATTCCTGTATGGTACTCTGTGATGTCCTAGTGGATACATGACCCTATGCATTTGTCAAAACCCATAGGATCTTAGAGAGCAAAGAGTGAACCTTAACATATACAAATTTTTAAAAAATCATTTAGGAGACCAAGGGATCCCGGGATGGAAGGCAGACTGACAAATAACTACAACTGTACCACAAATGTATGAGACATACACAATTAAATCTAAATTAAGCTATTAAGCTGTTTGTTAGAGACTTCTAATTTAGTTGTGTGGTAGTCAAAAGACAATTTCTGACTCTTCTTTGAAATTTGCTGAGTCTTGGTTTCTTGCCTGGTACATAATAAAGTTTTATAAATGCTCTAAGTAGGCATGAGAAAAATGTGTATTCTCTAGTGGTTAGATGCCGAATTTTACAAATGGCCATTAGAAAAAGCTCATTAATTGTGTTATTCAAATAATCTTGATCTTTGCTAAGTTTTTGTATTTTTGACTCCTTGGAAGAGATGCACTGAAATTTCTCATTATAATATCAGAGGTGTATACCCATTATTATTTTATATATTTGAAGACATTTGTCAGGTTCATATATATTTAAAATTAACATTTGTGATGTACTGAACTTTTATCTCTAGATAATGAATTTCTCTATTCCAAATGATACTTTATCTTTTTGTCTGGTAGTAATATGGCTAAATCAGCTTTCTTTTGATGACTGTTTTCCTAACAGAACTTTTTTTTTAAATGATTTTACTTATTTAATTGAGAGAGACAGAGAGAGCACAAGCAGGGGGAGGGGCAGAGGGAGAAGCCCAGACTCCTTGCTGAGCAGGGAGCCCGATGCGGGACTCAATCCCAGGACCCTGAGATCATGACCTGAGCCGAAGGCACACACTTAACCCACTGAGCCACCCAGGCACCTTGCCTAATAGAACTTTTTCCATCCTCCTACCATCAGCCTTTCTCGCTTCTGCTTTAAATGTGCCTTCTTACAGGGTGACCAAATTGTCACGCAAATCAAAACTCTTATGAGAGGGTAAGGGGACACCATGGTTCATTACACCAGCACAAGGGATGTGAACTGGGTGTGTTGGGAGAACTGGAAATTACTGGCCATCCTCTGTAAAAACAGCATAAGAATTTAACTTTTAAAAGGCTTAATCCATGGGGCACCTGGGTGGCTCAGTCGGTTAGATGTCCAACTCGTGATTTCAGCTCAGGTCATGATCTCAGGTTCGTGAGATGGAGCCCCACGTCTGGCTCCACACTCAGCAGGGAATCTGCTTGAGATTCTCCCTCTCCCTCTGCCCCTCCCCCTGCTCTATCAATCAATCAATCAATCATTAAAAGGCTCAATCCAACCATCTCTTTTAACTAATGATAATCAGTGTACTGTGTCTCATTTCTCTAATCTCAATTATTGTCATCCGCCTTTTCTGTTTCATTTTTTTCCTTCCTTGACTTCTTTTGGATTGAGGGTTTCTATTTGTTTTTCCCTTCAGTCTACCTTTTCCCACTACTGTTCTCTAGGTATATCACTGGAATGGTTGTCCTTGAAATTTTATCATGCAAATGTACCTTTGAACTCTTGGTTTTTCTGTCCTACACCTTAAACAATAGAAAGGTTGTAGGATACTTTGGCTCAGATTGTCCCCCTCCTGACACACATTATTGTTGCCCATCATTAATCTTTTCTCCCCCCCACAAATGGACAGGATTTTTATTATTTAATACAATCAATGGTTGGATTTGCTTATATGTTTACCATGTTTGATTGCTCATTGTTGGCCTCTGAGGCTGTCCTCCTGAGATAATTTTCCTCCTTCTTTTTTTTTAAGATTTTATTTATTTATTTGACCAAGAGAGAGATAGCGAGAGCAGGAACACGAGCAGGCAGGGTGGGAGAGGGAGCCACAGAGCAGGGAGCCCGATGCGGGGCTCGATCCCACGACCCTGGGATCATGACCTGAGCCGAAGGCAGACACTTAATGACTGAGCCACCTACGCGCCCCCCTCCTCCTTATTTTTTAGAAACTCCATTAAATCAGGTCTCTTACAAGAATGCTCCCTCAACTTCTGACTAGCTATAACTGTCTGTATTTTACCCTAGTTCTTGACAGATAATTCTGCTGAGTCAACATTCTAGATCAGCTATCATTTTCTTTTTTTCCTTTTTTCCTCAATTTTATTTATTTATTTATTAAGATTTTATTTATTTGCAAGAGAGAGAATGAGAGACAGAGAGCATGAGAGGGAAGAGGATCAGAGGGAGAAGCAGACTCCCTGCTGAGCAGGGAGCCCGATGTCGGACTTGATCCCGGGACTCCAGGATCATGACCTGAGCCAAAGGCAGTCGCTTAACCAACTGAGCCACCCAGGCACCCTCATTTTCTTTTTTTCTGAAGATTTTCACTCTCTTCTGGTTTCCTTGCTGCTTATCAACTCTTGTTTCTTAACAGAAGACTGTGAACACCTCTCATTTGTCAGTGATCTGTCTTCTCTCTAGATGTTTTTGAAGATCTTTGTCACGGATGATCTGCAGCTTTATTACAATGTGTATAGTCGTGGATTTCTTTTTTATGGATCTTGCTTAGGATATGCTGCTTCCTGAGTCTACGGATCCATGTTTTCCAAGTTTTTAGAAAATGCATTGCTTTTATCTCTTTAAATCTCGCTTCTCCACCTCTCTCTCTCAACTGGATGCATGGTAAACCTTTTATCTTCTGAGTCTCTTTGCCTTTCTCTCACATTTCGGCTGTGTGTTCCAGTGTGCTAATTCTCTGTATCAAATCTGACTCAGCTTTTTTTCCTATTAGTGTTTCCATTTCTTCTAGAAGTTCAGTATTTTCCCTCCAAAAACGTCTTTTTGCCCCTTCTTGTCATTAGTTCATCATGTAATTAAGACTTTCGGGTCTTTGAAAAGTTTGTGTGATAGTGGTTCTAGAAACTCTGCATCGGACAGTTCCAACACCTGCAGTCAGGAGCTGTTGGTTCTTGTTTCTGTTGACTCAGAATGGATTGCCTTCTCACAACTTTCAGAACCTTTCATTTTGAACTCTTGGCTTGATCTGCTTAATATCCTTCTAGTCAGTATTGCTATGTCCTTCCCCACCTCCCCTTTACTGGCCTTTCCAGTTAAGCTCTATGATGCTCTATGCCACTCTACCATTTTGGTGCCCCAGGCCTGGCTCCCGACTTCTGTGGTCACCTGGCTACTCCTGATCCAGATATTCGGGGGGGGGGGGCGCGTTGTTTGTTTTTTTGAAGAATTTCCCCTGGAGATCTCTCCTACCTTTTGCAAGACTAGCAGCGCCTGCCTGTCTGTATAACCAAAGTCTCAGTTGTGGGGAAGCTGTGGGAGAGAAAGCTCCTTGGAACTTATTCATGACACCGGAAGCATAGCATTTTCTAAAACATTTACAAAATCCTAAATGCCCTGAAAATCAGGGGCGGGTGGGGCCCATGGGGAACAAATTATGTTAAGTAAGAAACTTCAGAAGCAAAGGAGGGAACTACAGAGAACATCAAGGCTGGAATCCAAACTTCTGGTTAGTGGCTCCCAGGCCAGTCTCTGATGTCTGAGAAGTGGTGTCAGCAAAGACTGAGCTGCATCCTTTCTTTGAACAGGTGGCAACAGAAAGCAACAGGGGCAAAGTAAAGCGCAGATCCCACTATCCATCCACAAAGTTGAACCAGCTTGAGGCACCAGAACACACCCAGTCCCCGTCTCTGGAGATGCTGTTACGCAGGTTGAGGGCCACGGAAGCCCAGCAGGATGACAAGTTTGCCAACATCCTGGATGTGGTGGGGGAGTTTGGCACATTCCAGAAGAGGCTGGTGGCCCTCACCTTCATCCCCAACATCCTGTTGGCCTTCTTCATGTTTGCTGACATCTTCGTGTTCACAGCCCAGAAGCCTTATTGCAATACCAGCTGGATACTGGCAGTGGACCCCAGCCTGTCAGAGGCTCAGCAGTTGAATCTGACCCTGCCCCGAGAACCCAATGGCAGTTTCCAGACATGCCTCATGTACTTGCCTGTGGCCTGGGATCTGGAATCTATTATCCAATTTGGCCTCAACTACACAGAGTCATGCCAAGATGGGTGGATCTATCCTGAGACGAAGAAGCGATCGCTGGTCAATGAGGTGTGCCTTCCCCTGAGTTGTCTATAGCTACCCCACAGCCCCAGAGACGTGCCCTCACCCTCACTGAACAGGTGGGGAAACTGAGGCTCAGGGACATGAAGCAACTGGTCCAAGGTGACCTTGCAGAGGCAGAGCCATGGCAGAAATGTAGGATCCCAGTTGTCTAGGCCTGGCCTCACCTGTCTTAGCCAGGAAGCTAGAGTTGACTTGAGTGTTGAGGCAAATGTCAGCAGGCAGGCTTTGCCATCTGTCTAGGGAATTGCTCCATAGTTGTCGCTCTGCTCTCTGAACTCACACAAGATAGAGAACTGGGGAAAGAAGCAGCTTTGATCAGGTACCTCTTACAGGGTTTCTCAGCCAGGGCTGTAACCTGGGCCCTTCACCGCACAGACCTGCCCAATTTGAATCTCTAGGCTGGGGACCGATATCTGTATTTGGGAAAGGGTCTTCAGTGATTCTAGACTTTGCTCAGTTACATTTTCACCTATTCCCCATTTTGGCCTGGGCCTCTGGTCCCCTCTCTCCAGACCTCACTCCCAGGGTCTGCCAGACACAGGATGGGCACACGCACAGCTGCCTGTCCCTGTCCCAGGCCCCTTCTGCCTAAAGGTCCACCCTGGGTAGGGGGTGGTGGTAGTGGTGGAGGGGTGTAGGCTCAGTCCCTGGACCCAGAAGGCTGACCCTGGGTAGAGGCCTGTAGCCAATCCTGCGTAAAACCCCCAGTTTGACTTGGTGTGTGGCAAGGACCGGGACACGGAAGGCGTGCAGACCATGCTCACGGCTGGCCTCCTAATAGCGTCCCTCATCTTTGGGTTCGTAAGTGACAAGTGAGTGTCCCGGAGATCCCTCTGGTCCCTGGAAGCCCCTGACTCCTCCTCGTGGGCATTCAGAACTAGAGTCTCAAGCTGGGGGAGGCGAGGGTAGGGGCACTCTGGAGGCCTACGCACGGCTCAGGACCGGCCCCGAGTGTCGGGCCGGGCCAGCCACTGAGGTCCGCGGGCTTGGCGCAGCCTGCCTTGGACGCCCGCAGGCTGGGCCGCTACCCCACCATCCTGATGTCGCTGCTGGGGCTGGCCATCTTCGGCTTCGGGGCAGCCTTCGTCAACAGCTTTCACCAGTACCTGTTCTTCCGCTTCGGCGTGTCCCAGGCCTTAGTGGGCTACGCCATCAGCAGCCTGTGTTTAGGTGAGGCCCAGTCCCCGGGAGCGGGGTGGGGGAGGCGGGAGGCGTGGCGCGGGCGGGGCCAGAGGCGCTCGGGGGGCGGGGCCTCGGGGGTGCACCGCGGGGGCGGGGCGAGCGTGGGGGCGGGGCTGGCGCGTACCTACGGGGAGCCCGCAGGACTAACAAGGTTGCGGCCCAATCGAGGCTGGCAGTGGAGGGAGCCACTTCTCCTCGGATCGTCCTGGAGATGCCGGAGAGTCTGTGCTCAGACCCCTTCCACCCTCATCCTCCATCCTAGCCCCCTCGTACCCCGCAGATATCCCCGTCATACCTCTGGCTTCCCCCCCACATGGCTTATATTTACTGAGACCTTCAGAAGGCCCGGGCCAGCTGCTAAACCCTTTACATGTACTATGTCATTTCATCGTGACGTACTCTTCTATTATCCCTTTAGCAGAGAAGGATACTTGAGCCTCAGGAGGTTAACCAATTTGCTCAGGGCCACACAACAGTTACATGGAGGAGTTGGGATTTCATCCCAGGCCTGTGGGACACGAAAGCCCCAAGTGCCCATACACTCATTCAGCTTACAGCTGCCATGGCCTGGTGAGCTCAGGGTTCCCTGGCAAGAGACCTCTTCTCCTTGGAGCTTGTCCGAGGGACTGGCTTCTTCACACAGCCCTAGGCCTAGGTGGCCAAAGCCCTGAGGCACTAAGAACAGAGATAAGGACACAGACTCCTTGCCTCACCACCTGTCAGGCCACCTGTGAGGAGTTGTGCGCAGAAATGGGCCATCTCTTCGAGAGAGACGCGTGGTCAGGCAGGAGGTGTTGAGAGGGAGCAGTTAGGCCGAGAAGGGACTGGAGGCTCTATGTGCGATTAGAAGTTCAGGCAAGGGGCCTAGGGTGTGTCCTGGGGACACAGAGGCACCCTGCTTGGCTTTGAAGTACTGTTGAAACTTCACCCAGGTTGAACTGTCCCAAGCAGGGCTGGAGCATCTCAGAAGGTTGGGTGCCAGGATAGCCCCAGGGATCCTGAGCTGACCATGATTTTGTCCTCTTGGCCTCCGCACAGCCACTGAGTGGCTAATGGGCCAGCACCGGGCCCACGCCATCATCCTGGAACACTGCTTTTTCTCTGTGGGAATCCTGTTTCTGACCGGGCTTGCCTACAGCCTTCCCCACTGGCGGTTGCTGTTTCTGGTGGGTGGGGCACCTGTGTTCCTCCTCATCTCCTACATCTGGTGAGCAAACAGGACGTGCGCAGTGACAGCTCTGATGGGCTGGAAGTTGAGGGTTGGAGGGTCCTTGAAGGGGTGGAGTGGGTGGAATTTTCTCTTGGAGAAAATGCATGTGGATGAAATGAGAAAGAGCCTAGGGCAGAGCCTCTGGAACCCTAACATTAATCCCCATCAGAGGAGACGCTCAAAGAGATGTCAGAGAAGTAGTCAGAAAAATCAGAAGGCAAAGTGTTGAAAGGCAGGGTTGAAGGCAAGAAAGGTGATGCTGGGGAAGAGTCCCCTGGCCTTGGGGACCTTGGAGGTGGCTTCAGTGGAGTGGCAGGGGTTTGAAGAAGGAGAAGGGGCTGAAAAATGGAGCCTTCCAGGAGACGACTCTTGCCACAGTGCTGGGCTGAGGGGGAAAGTGATGAAGTGGTTGGGCAGCCAAGACAGCCAGGGAAGGGTATGTGGTGTTCTGAACGGTGGGGAGTCAAAGACAGGAACCCGAGACCCCCAAGCTAGGAAGAGACACGTGTGATGAGAGAGGGAGGGAAGAGAAGGCAGATAGAGAGTGAGAGGAAGAGACAGAAATCACCTGGTTAAGGTGTGGAGAAAGGATCAGGTTTCACCTTGACATCATCATGTTTAATCTTTTCAACTCTGAAGGAAGGATGTGAGTCTCATGTCCTGGGGGCTGAAGGGGTCGGGGTGAGAGGAGAACTGAAGCTTCAGGGGATCAAAAGAACTTGCCCAAGGCCACACAGCTACAAAGTGGCAGACCTGGGATTTGACTCAGCCTCTGTGGCTCTGAATTTTACCCACTGCACCATACACAATACGGATTTAAGAGGTGGAGTTACCAGTTAAGAGGGAGGGCATGTAGGTGGCTTGGAGACCTTCCAAATTCCAAAGTTGGCGACCATCTTTGGCAGTCATTGACATTCCCAAGTGTGTACTGGGGCCAGCTGATGCCAGGTGGCATGACTCTCTCCTGGGAGCTAGGAAATAGTGTTTCATGACTTGACATTAAAACATTTTTAAAAAGCAATAGATGCATGTGGTTAAAGACTAAGTAATACCAAAAGGTTTGTGGTGAAAAATAAGTCAAAAATTTCAGCTCCCCTCAGCTCCCCCAGTTCCTTCCCCAGAAGCTGTCACACTGTGGACTCTTAGCTCTTTCTTCTGGTAGATGCCTGCATAGTTCTATGTTCTGTGAGTAGACGGCTCCTTGAATGGGGCACATTTTTCTTCAGACATGTCCTGTCAGCTGTTTCTTCCCTGACACTTGACAATATCTTGGGCAGGTTCCATCTCTTCACAGTCAATTCGTTTTTCTTTTTTTTTCAAAAATTTTATTTATTGGGGTGCCTGGGTGGCTCAGGTTGGTTAAGCGTCTGCCTTCTGCTCAGGTCATGATCTCAGGGTCCTGGGATCAAGTCCCTCGTCGGGCTCCTAGTTCGGCAGGGAACCTGTTTCTCCCTCTCCCTACCCATCCCCCTGCTTATGCTCGCTCTCTCACTCTGACAAATAATAAAATCTTTAAAAAAAATAAAGTTTAAAAAAAGATTTTACTTACTTTAGAAAGAGAGAGCAAGCGAGTGGGGGGGAGGGGCAGAGGGGAGAGAGAATCTCAAGCGAGTCTGTGCTGAGCCCAACGCAGGGTTTTTTGTTTGTTTGTTTGTTTGTTTTAAATATTTTATTTATTTATTTGACAGAGAGAGAGAAAGAGACAGCGAGAGAGGGAACACAAGCAGGGGGAGAGGCAGAGGGAGAAGCAGGCTTCCTGCTGAGCAGGGAGCCCGATGTGGGGCTCGATCCCAGGAGCCTGGGATCATGACCTGAGCCGAAGGCAGACGCTTAACGACTGAGCCACCCAGGCACCCCCAACGCAGGGTTTGATCCCAGGACCCCAAGATCATGACGTGAACTGAAATCAAGAGTTGGATGCTTAACTGACTGAGCCAGTCAGGCGCCCCCTCTTTTTTTTTTAAATTCTTTATTGTTATGTTAATCTCCATACATTACATCATTAGTTTTGATGTAGTGTTCCATGATTCATTGTTTGTGTATAATACCCAGTGCTCCATGCAGAGGTGCCCCCTCTTTACAGTCATTCTTAATTGTAAGAAAAAAATCTCATTTTAGTCATTCAGACTCACTTTGAGGCATTAAAAAATCCAGTCTAGTTCAATTTAAAACTTGATCTTACATCTAGTTCACAGGTTCCCCCTGGTGGCTAACCAGCTCAGGCTAGTGTTCTGACCTTTGCCCTTCCTCCTTTGTCTACCTGCTCTGATCTTCCAGGTCCTAGGCAGGGGATAGAGCATCAGAGAAAAGAGACAAGTGTGCAACAGGGGCTGTTATCGGTGGTCAGTGTCCTCTGTAGGGCAGATGTTCGGAGGCAGGTGCCTTCGGGGCCCATGTGTGGATCTTCAGGGGTCCACTGGTGTTTCCTAATGCTCCAGGCACTGTCTTTATGAGTTCGATTAACATTCTGTCTCTGGCAATTCACCCATAGCCTCTTTCTGCAGAGGTCTCCTTGCCCTAGCACATGGGGTGACTTCAAGATAGCAAGGTCCACTTGGCCAAAAAGACTTTCACCATCCCCATTCCCCAGCCTGCCATTGTGCCTTTCTCCCACCAACTTCCTGTCTGATCATATCCAGGTGAAGGGGGGTCCCCCATCTCTGGGTTTGCATAGGCCCTCCAACTTGAGGGCATGTGAATGAACTCTCCTTGTAAATGACTGCCTGCAGTACAAGGTAGCCCCCTCATTTCTGAATCAGTAAGCTCCAGGCAAAGAGTGGGAGGGCAGACTCCCTTACTCAAAGGTGGTCCCCTTCACCAGGCTTGAATAGATGAGAGCAACCTGGGGAAGGGAAGAGAGTCTCACTGCCACGAACTGGAAATTTCCAGCCTCTCTCGGTGGCTGGGGGAGGTGGCTGCTGGGCTGTTTTGTATTTTTATTATTATTATTTTAAAGATTTTATTTATTTATTTATTTATTTATTTATTTATTTGAGAGAGAGCACAAGCAGAGGAGCAGCAGAGGGAGAGGGAGAAGCAGGCTCCCTGCTGAGCAGGGAGCCCGACGTGGAGGCTCGATCCCAGGACCCTGGGATCATGACCTGAGCCGAAGGCAGACGCTTAACCGACTGAGCCACCCAGGCGCCCCTTATTATTATTTTTAGTGAATCCTGTCCTGAATGTGGTAACACCTCTCTTTACAATGTGAGGTTATCAGTCATTGTTTAATGGCCTTGGGACATCAGCTGAAATTCTAAGACAAAAGTTTCCATGTCATGTTCAGTTACACTGCTCTTCCTTATTCTCTGATTTTATTATTTTCTCAATAGCATTTGAAACTTGTATTATGGAAATAGAATTGCAAAACATTCTCAAATCTTTTTGGGATACAAGTTAGAATTTTCTTTTTTTCCCTCCTGCTTCCTACATTACCTTTGTCCTCTGGGGTAATTTTTTTTTTTTCCTGCTTGGTTGTTTTGGCCCCTTTTTTATTGAGAGGTTGTATTTTTTTTTTTTCAACATTTGGTGATTTTTGGTCATCCCTTCATCATTAAGAGTAAGTTACTTAGATGTTAATGGGAAACGGTGAACAGAAGCTTATTGCCTGGCAATCTTGTAGGGCAATGCCTCTCAAATTTCTACGAACAGCAGAGTCAATCACATGGGGGCTGGTTAAAACATCAGTGACTGGGCCCTGCCCCCAGAGCGTCTCAATCAGCAGGACTGGGGTGGGGCCCAAGAATCTGCATTTCTAACAAGCTCCCAGGAGATGCTGATGCTGCTGGTCTGCTGACCACACTTCGAGAACCACTACCACTGGGTGACCAAATGGCAGGTGCCTTTTTTTTGAGGGATCCCAAAGTCAGGGCGTTGCCTGGCTCAGTTGCCTTGTTCCCCAGTGGGCTGGGAGTGGGAACTCTTGTCACCATCACGGGGACTTCCACTCCGTTCGCCTGTGTTTGTCCTCAGCCTGCTCTAGGCTCTGGGTGCAAACCTCAGAGGAAACTGGAGTCCCGTATCTGAGGACTAGGATGTTCAGGGTCCCCTTGCTACATGTCGGGCCTTGCCGCGTGGCCACCGGCCTGGCTCCATCCACTTCCGGGCTATGTGTATGTTTGTTAACTCTTTCTTCCACCCGTCCTCTCTCCCACTCTCTTTGTTGAGATCCTTTTTCTTTCCTCTAGTTTAGAGTGGGCACGTGCTCAATCTCCCATCTTTTTGAAGAAGTCCCAGTTGGGTGACTTTCTTTAGGAGAGTTCCCCAGCCTTGCTGTGGAGAAGGATGGCAGGGGGACTGTCTGATAGCCACTAGTGGAGGGCAGGAGCTGGGGCAGGCAGAGAGAATGAAGTGGCCCCTAATGTCAAGGGCATGTGTTTACACGGCTGGCCATGGAGTTCGGGCCGGGGCCAGGATCGGGGTGGAGGGGGGCAAGAAGTCAGCAGGGCTGATGGCATAGTTTGTAAAGAGTGCCTAATCAGGGCCCTGAGGTGCATACCAGCTCTGCCTCTGTGACCTTGGGCAAGCCCTTACCCCCTGAGCCTGGGAATAAAATGGGGATAATCATACTAGGTCCAGGGTTGGGCAGGGATTAAACTGGTTGATTTATGTGTAAGAGCACCAAGCACATTCCCAGGCACCTCATAAGGGCTTTAAATATTCACCTGTGTGGATTCTGGCAGCCTGGGAAGATCAGGAAGAACAGAGGGACCAGAGTTATTCCAAGGTCAAAGGCAGTGGGCAATGTGGCAGGGGAGAAGGTGGGACAGAGGGGACGTCTATTCACCCAGGCAGGGGCTAGGCCCTGGGGGCCCCCATATCCTCCAGGCTTTTAGGAGACAGAGAGGGACCAGGAGAAATGCCAACCATGAGAATGGGACCCTAACAGAGGGTGTGGGCATTGGTGCCCTCAGCGTGGCTGGGCAGGTGGGGCCGAGCCCTGAGACAGAAAGGTAGAGAGTGTGTGGAGGTAGTGGAGGGGGAGAAGCTGTAGGGCAGAGGCAGCTAGGGCCTGGGGTGACCCTGAGCAGCAGTGGGAGCTGTGTGTGGCCTGGGGAAGGGCTGACCACCAGCAAGGGGCAGAGGCACCTTGAGGTGGAGGGTCACATTCAAGGCCTCCAACATCCACATCCCCTCACGTTGGCGGTCTCTGGGGCATCTTAGAAGGATGGCTAAGAGCGGGTGGGCCATGCAGGATCGTGCCGGAGTCCCCGCGGTGGCTGCTGATGAAAGGGAAGCTAGAGGACGCCAAGCAGGTGCTGTGCTATGCGGCCAGTGTGAACAAGAAGGTCATTCCCTTAAGTCTGCTGGACAAGGTAAGAGGCCTCGGCCTGGAGCGGGGCCCGGGCAGGGGCTGTGGAGGAGTCTCTTCCTTCCTCGGGGGACCTCTGCCCAGAGGCTGTCCCCAGTCCACCGCTCGAGGAGAATGGTGACAGCAAAATCGAACCCTGCCAGCAGAAGGCCAGAGAACAAGCTGGCCCTGGGAGGGGCGGGGCGGGGGGGGGGACGGTTTGAGGTCCTGTGGGGGTGGGGAGCAAGCTGGGGTCTCAGTCTGGCCTCTGGCTGGTCCTGCTTGTCCTGCAGCTGCAGCTGCCTGGAAAGAAGGTGACTAAGGCCTCTGTCCTGGACTACTATAACAATAAGCACTTCCTCAAGGTGACCTTGGTGATGGGTTGTGTGTGGTGAGTACCGGGGACTGGCCGGCAGGGACTGCAAGCAGAACCTGCCAGAAGCTCTGGTGAGAGAATGGGCAGGCTGCAGGGGGGCAAGGCCTAAGGACGCTGGCTTGGCTACAGGTCCAGAGCTCTGTGCTTATTTCTGTCTCCCATCCCCACCCTGCTCTGCTTGTCTCTGCCTCTGCCTTTATCCCTGCCCTGTATGCTGTATCTCTGCCCCCCTGCCCTCTCTCTCTGAGTGTCTCTCTCCTGGCTTCATTTCAGCTTTACTGTGGGTTACAGCTATTTCACGCTGAGCCTCAAGTTGAAGAATTTGGGTGTGGACCTCCACTTCACACAAGTGATTCTTGGCATCATGGAGGTGCCCGCCTGCCTCTGCTGCATCTTTCTCCTTGAGCAGATGGGGAGGAAGTGGAGCCTGATTGCGACTCTCTTCCAAGGCTCCCTTATGTGCTTGCTCGTTCTTATCCTCCCCTCAGGTACGCCTCACCCTCCCCTCGGCGCCACTACCCCCGCCCCCGGCCTTCCTGCTTCCTCAGACCCCTTCCTCCTGCCCTGTTTGGCCAGTAAGACACCCTGGGAGTCAGCCGGGGCACCCATGGCCCTCCTGCCCTCCTGAGCTGGTGCCAGTCACTGGAACACTGCCCTCCTCAAGGGAGAGCCCCAAGACCGGGTGCTGGAAGCTCTCAGAAACCTGGTAGAGGAGGGGGTGCTGTCCCGAGGAATCCTCCTTGTGTGTGGGGGGGAGTGGGTGGCCTTCTTCCAGCCCATGTCAGATCTGATGGTTGAATGTGAACAGATGCCCACAGATAGTCCTTCAACTGGTACCCCAGGCCCTGCCTCTCACTGATAGCCTCTGACTGGGAAATGCCTGTTATCTGGACCTTCAGCAGGAAAAAATAACCTGAGTGTAACAGGGGGCTAAGCTCTCAGGAACATTCTGACAGGGAGGCCTCCCTTCGCAGGAGGGCGCAGTACCCGTCAGCTCAGAACTAGACAAGCCAACTGGGGGTGGGGGTGTGAAGGCGCAGCAATATTTTCAAAATTGCAAAGATCCCTGGGATGATGAGTATGCCCCAGGTCACAGGGCTAGAGAGTGGCCGGCTGAGGATGTGGACATCAAGATGTCAGTGCTCTCTCCATCAGAACTGCTAACCACGAGAGCCCCCTCAGCTGCTGGGGCCAGGGCAGGGAAGCCATGTCCGGGGTCTGCCTCCAGGGGAGCCCTCCTGTTCTCTGGGGGCTAGAATTATGTGTGTCTTGCCTGGGACCCTTCCTCTCCCAGATGCTGGCCGTGTGGACTGGCTAAAACAAAATGGGGCAACAAACGCATTCTTAAATTGCTGTTGCTTGGTAGCTTTTGTAAAAAGTGGGCCTATACAGAGTCAAACAGAAATGTTTAAAACTCTCAAATGTGTGAGAGAAACTAGTAGAATCCCCAACAGATAAAGCTAGATCTCCAGTTTCATCCCAGAGCCAAGAGAAGCTGGGGTCAGAGTGGGGAGTGGGGCAGCGGCGGGCCCGGCAGAGGCTCATGGAGGAAGAGCTGCAAGAGGCCAGCTCCCGGGCAGTGAGCACCAAGCCGGAGGAATGGGCTTTCCTGGATCTTTTCTTCCTCCTCTTCCTCCCTCAATGTGCACGTCTGGCTGCCCAGCGTTGGGGATCCTGGCTCTAGGGACCGAACACTCCCGAGCCCCGGTGCACAGTTCCCTGATTCCTCCACCTTGCGGGGGCGGGGTGGGGGGGTGGGAGGGAAGGTGGGAGGGCCCTGAGCAGGCCACGGGGAAGCTGCCTCAGGTGAGGATGTGGAAGACAAGAATGAGCCTGGAGGCAGAGGTGTGGGGCTGAGAGGCCATGGGGTGAGCAACTCGCCCACTGCAGTTATATTAACTTCTGGCCTGGCTGGGCCTGAGTCTGCTGACCAGCTGACCAGGTCCTAGGACGAGAGTGGGGTTGGGGTGGGGGGGAACTGCTCAGATGCCTTCCAGGAGGGATGGAAGGAGAGCAGATGGGTGGCCCCCCATCCCCCACCCCAGACTCAGGGGGCCACGTTGTCTGGCCACAGAGTTGAAATCCATGATAATCTTGATGGTCGTGCTTGGAGAGTTCAGCCTGGCGGCCTCGGTCTCCGTGTTCTTCATCTACACCGCGGAGCTCCTGCCCACTGTCCTCAGGTAGGCAGCCTGGCAGGCCAGGCCGTGGGGGCTTGGCAAGGGCGCAGGACCCAGACGCTCCCGGCAGTGAGAGTGGCCGAGCACCTGGTGACAGGCACGCGCTGAGTGGTTTCCCTGGATCACCCCATTACCCCCCCAAACTTCGTGGTTAGCCCTATCTCAGACAACAGAGTCAGGTGGAGGCCCGACCGCAGTTGGCAGAACCGGGCAGTCTGAGCGTGGTCTCGGCCTTGCACTGCGTGGGCCTGAATGTGTCTGGGCTGCTCTGAGGCTCGGCTGTAGCTTCGTTGGGGCAGGGGGAAGGTGGGGAAGCCCGTGGTCAGGGTGGCGGCTCCCCTCCCTGCCCAGCTCCACTGCCCTGTCTTCTCCCACGCACCCACCCGCGCCCTGGCTTTCGCTTCTCCTGCTCCTGATCCATGGAGCAGGCCCCCAAGAAATAACCGCCCGCCCTGGATCAGGGGGGAGCCAAATGCTCCATGGGCGCTTGGTGAGTTGGGACAGGCTGGAGACTGGAGCATGTGAGGTTTGGGGAGCTGCTGCTTCTACCCCACCTCCGCCCAGCCTCTGGGCCCAGGACGCCTCCTAGATGAGCTCTCACCTCCCCTTCCAGGGCGACAGGTCTGGGCCTGGTGTCTCTGGCCTGGGCAGGTGGAGCCATCTCATCCCTGGCGGTCAGCCACCAGAAACTCACCCTCCTACCCATATTTCTCTGCTGCATCTCGGCTGCCCTGGCCTTGTTCCTCTGCTCCCTGCTACCGGAAACGCAAGATCGGGCTCTCCCTGATAACCCGGAGCACTGCTTCCTGCAGACAAAGTAGGTGGGCGAGGCCCCTGGCCCTGGCCCCTGAGAGTCTGTCGGGCACCGTCCACCTCTGCCTGTTGGCCAGAGGGGCCTGTGACACCAGGGCCACTCTGTGTCTACAGCAGTCTCCCCAGCTCTCCTGGATGTCACCACCTACCCCCGCCCTGCTGCCCGGCCTCCGCCAGCTTCAGTCCTTTCGGCTCTCCTGACCAGCCTGGGCCAGGCGTTCTCCTTTCCTCCCCCTCTGGCTGCTTGTCTGGCCTGGGTGCTGCCCCTGGAGATGGCCTGGGCTCTCTCCCTCCCAGGGCACAGGGTCTGGCTGGGGACCAGCTCTCCGAGTACCACTCCTTTCCTAGCCGAACTCTTAGCTTCTCAAAGAGGACCCAGTCTTGATTCAAGGCTCTGACCTCAAGGCTCCAGCAGCCCAGTGCCCCGTTTGGGAACTGGGCTCCGCCCCGACCGCTGTATAGGCACTTCTGGCCTCATGATTGGCAGAACCGTGCCTTCTGGGGTTTGGGCCAACATGGCCCCTCGCTCTCTCCCTAGACCCGAGGGGACCCGAGCACCAGTGAGAGGCAGAGGCTACCTGGCACTGGATGTCCTCCAGTGCCCTGTGCTCATAGCACAGGGTGGCTGCCTCCGGCCATCCCCTGCCCTCCTCCCCACCACCCTTCTCCTCTTTCCCTCCCTCCTCAAACTCTGACACCATCTGTGCTAGGCATTGTACCAGGGCTGGACTGGCAGGTCTCCAGTCTTCAGTGATAGTTTATGGGGAGAAAGGCATGCCGACAGTTTTCCCTTAATGGGCTCTGAGGGAGGGATGCACGGGACCTACAGAAGGCCCCGGAGGGAGGAACTTTAGTTTGGGGAGTGGGGGCAGGCTTCATAGAGGAAGTGACATTGGGGGAAGGCTTTGAAGGATGAAGAAGCATTTGCCCCATCGTAGGGAGGGGGAATGCAATGCAGCAGAATCGCTAAGAACACAGACTCTGGAGCCAGAGGGCCTGCACTTCTGTCTCTGCTATCATTTCCTACCATGTGCCCAGGGGAGTTACCTAATGCCTCAGAGACTCAGTTGCTTCATTTGCAAAATGGAATGATAACAGAGTTATAAAAATAGCTAACATTTACTGAACCTTTACCGTGTGTCAAGTCCTGCTCCATACGTGCCTTTTCATACATTGTCCTAACAATAGCCACGTGCAAGATAGGTCCTGTCACTACCCCCCATTTTACAGTTGAAGAAACTGAGGCGTAGAGAAGCAGAGACATGTAGCCTAGCCTTTCTCTGTCATGGGGCTTTGGGCAGGATTAAGCCCACATAACGCACGTGGCGCAGAGTCTGGCATGCGGCAAGTGCTCAGTAAATGCTAGAGATGGACCCCCAAAGATGCAGGAGCGTGAAGGGTCTGGGTACGGTTGGGAGATGGCACACATCCGGTCCTGGTGAGGGTCCCTTATGGGTGCGTGGCAAAGCCCCATCTCTCAGGACTGCAGAGCCAGGCTTGGCTACAGCTGCCTCAGAGGTACTGCTTTTCTTAGCTCCTCAAGATGCAACTCATGACTTGTTCTCCAATGGCTTCTTCAGGAACATGGCTGAGGACCCGTTCACTGAGGAGGTAGTATCTGGTGATGGGACTGCGGAAGTGATGAAGAACACCATTCTCAATTCCACGATGCTGAAATCGGACTTGGACATTCATCTTGGCAGAACGCATCTTTGCATGGCAAGGGAAAGGAAAGAGACCCACGGAATGACTGAGCCCCAGGCCCCCAGATGATCTCGGTGGGAGCTGAGTGGCTGGGTGTGGGGCTGTGCACTCCCGGCCACGAATTCCAGGCCCAATCCAGCTTGGGGGTAGGTCAGTCCTGCTCCAAGGCCAGCCCTCGAGATCCAAAAATGGCCCCTCCTGGGCGAGCTAGGGTGTGATTCATTCTAATAAAGGCACCATGTTGGACTTGAGATGGCGAGGTCAAAATTGGCTATGTGTGGAGAGCCCAAAGACCCAGGCCCGGAGGAGGATGGGTCGAACAGGCTCCCTAGAGTCCTTTCTGTCCTTAGCTAACCTTGGGGACAGCAAGGGGCTCTCTGGGTGGGGGACAGGGGGATGGCTGTGTCTGTGAGGGCTGGGAGTGAGCAAGGGCAGGACTGTGCCCGCACCACCCACATCCTCTAGCCCAGGCATCTGCTAGCACGGGTGGGCTTCCAGCTCATGTGCAAGCTGACATAGACTTCAGCTCCGCCATATGCACCTGTCAAGGGTGGAATGTAAAGGAGTAATGACGACTTCTCCCACTTGTACCGTTGCACAGAGCTTTCTCACTCACTGTTCCCTTTGACACTCACAAATAAGCATGGCCTTGGGGATTACCCATCTCAGCCTCATCTTTCGGGTTCCTTCCCTGATGGCTCCAGCCTGGCTCACCTCTGACCTCCACCACCCTGAGGATAAGTCCCTACATCCAGCTCACAGTTCCCACTACCCTGTTGTGGGGCCTTGCCCAAATAGGATCCAGGGTTCCTCAACAATTAGCCAGACCCAGAAAACTTTAGGTCAGGCCCTGGGCCCCACATCCTCTCTCCAGGGGAGTGCAGAGCCCTGAGGGCAGAGCCTGGTCCTTCTCTTTCTCTGCTCAGTTTCTTGGAAGATCATCAGCTTGCAGGGAGGAGCTAACTCCCTGGAGCTTTGGAGAAAAGGACAGAAAAGAGTGCCCAGCCTCATGGAGCAAGGGCAGCAAGGGCTGCTCTCGTGGACAGGGTTGGAGGGCAGTGCACAGCGACAGCTCCTAGCACCTGGTCTGAGCACACTGCTCTGGGGGAGTGTTCCCAAGCTTCGGCACAGCAAGAATCTGGTGCCCACGCCTTCTCCTGCCCAGATCATTTTCCCTGTCCCTCGGTTTCTTACCGAATTTCCCACGATTGCCTCCCAAGTGGGGTTTGAAGTTCCCAGAAAAAGGGGTCTCACAAGTTATCTGCTTATGGGACAACAGGATGTTTTAAAGGCCTCCCCTGCTCTTTCTGGGGGGGCGGCATTTGAGACTTGGGGCTGGTATCCATGGGGCCAGGTCTCCCCCTGAGGCCAGCACCTGAGCCCCCTTCTGAGCTGCTTCCACCCTGCTTTCGGCTTGCGGGCACTCTGTACATTTCGAGCAGCATCCCTGTGGGGTTGGGGTTAGAGGCTGACAGTGTAAGAGGCTGGGTCCCATGTATAGGTCGCTGCCTGGGCAGTGGGAGAAATGGCCGAGCAGCTGAGAGATGCAGAAATGACTTTGCTGGGAGGATTCAGCCAGTGCTTCAGGGAACAGGAGGAGGAGCTGGGTCAGGACAGAAGGGACAGGCAGTGCTGGTGTGATGGAGCTGGCGGCCTCAGGTGTGGCTGTGGGCAAGACCCAGCGTACTCCTAAGTGACTTAGGTCTCCCGTGGGTTGCCAGGATTTGTCCGTCAGTTCCAGATAAACCTATCTCGTTTATTACAGCCATCTCAATGGCTCATGTGACTCAGAGTTTGACATTATGTATTTTAACCGACTAGACCCATGCTGTCTCACCCAATAGCCACTAGCCAGACATGGCTGTGGAGGGCTTGGAATGTGGATAGTCACAATTAAGATAATGCTGTGAGTGTAAAAAACGATTTGGAAAATTTAGCACAAATACTCATCAGCATTTTTATATTGGTCATGTGTAAAAATGATAAGACTTTAGATAAATGGAGTGGATAAAATATTAAAATTAATTGCACCTTTTTAAAAAAAAACTTTTTAATCGCAGAAAATTTAAAACTACACATGACTTGCATTTGCGGGTCCATGTTATATTTCTATTAGACAGCACTAAACTAGAACCTTCTTTTTATTGGTCTCCCACATCATTCTTTTTTTTTTTTAAGATTTTATTTATTTATTTGACAGAAAGAGACACAGCGAGAAAGGGAACACAAGCAGGGGGAGTGGGAGAGGGAGAAGCAGGCTTCCCGCAGAGTGGAGAGCCCAATGTGGGGCACGGTCGCAGGACCCTGGGATCATGACCTGAGCCGAAGGCAGACACTTAATGACTGAGCCACCCAGGTGCCCCCCTCCCACATCATTCTTGTCACATGGGTTTCTTAGTGAAATATTGAAAGTTAAATGCCAAAATTGCAGGGAGCTGCACACTGCATGATCCTACGAATCTGGTGTCTTTATGATATAGTTGATCTGTAGCAAACACGTCAGCCAAGGTCTCCCTGTGTGACCTGCAAACTTGTGATGCCTGTGACTCGTGGGGCTCTTGGTACCCTAGTCATGATCACTGGCTTATGTGGAACTCTGTCGCCTGCATCTCTTAGGGCTTTCTAGGGAAGATGTATCTCACCCAAGATAAATTTGTAAGTAAAAATTACTGAGCACAGGAGGAAACAAGCTGGCATGAAACAGAAGCAATAAACCGGAGAATTTACCATCAGTGTGCCATCCAGCGGGGGGTAGGGCTCTCTGAAAAGGCTTGAAATTTGCTGAAATTGTTCAAAGAGATGAAGCAACCTAACTCCTAAGACACTCACTTGGAAAATGACTCCATAAAGCCTTGAAATGAACGATGTAGCAATTGAGTTGGAAAACACAACAGAGAAGTGAAATTAGAATAGATACAACTGAAGAAAGAATGAATTGTTGAATATTCTTTGTGGGTTGTTTCCTTTCTTGTTAAATAGCATCCCTCATCTCTACTGATACTTTTTGCCATCAATTCTAGTTTGCCTGAAATTGCATTTACTCCAATCTTAAAAGCTTCATTGAATAGAAGTGCATAAATCAGTTAATGTTCCATTTTATGAGTTATCACAAGGCACTTGGTATCCATCACCCACATGGCAGAGAAGATTAATAGCACCTCAAGGTTCCCTGCTGACTCTCCCATTCACCACCTTCTCTTCGTCCAAGGAAACTACTCACCTTCTGACAACAAAGGTTACTTCTGCAGGGTTTTGAACGGTAGGAGGAGCCGCGGTTCAAATTCTTGTGTCTGGCTTCTTTCAACTCGGAGATTCCTCTGATGCAGTGTAAGAACTTTGTTTTTATGCTGTAGCGAATTCCGGTATTACGAATGTACTACAACGTATTCATCCACTCTAGTCGTGACAAACATTTTGGTTGTTTCCAAAAGGGAGAAATATGCTGCGATGAATAATGCTTCTGCTATGGTCTGACTGTGTCCCCCCAGAATAATATGTTGGAAACTTAATGCCCAAGTGATGGTATTAGGAGGTAGGGCCTTTGGGAGGTGATTGGGTTGTGAGAGCGGAGCACAAATGAATGAGATTCACGCCCTTCTAAAAGAGGTCCCTGAGGGCTAGCTTGTCCCTTCCACCATGTGGGGGCATGGTGAGAAGATCGTCCTCTGCAACCTGGAGAGGGTCCCTCCCCAGATACTGAATCTGCTGGTGCCATGATCTCGGACATCGCAGCCCCTGGCACTGTGAGAAATAAATTTCTGTTTTTCATAAGCCACCTGGTCTATGGCATGTTGTTATAGTGGTCCAAACAGACTAGGACAGCTTCTGTGGACGTCCTTGTAACTATGTCCTGGAGCACAGAAACACATTTCTCTAGGCTCTACTTGGGAGTGAGATTGCGGGGTTGTAGGGTATACATCACTTCAACTCTGGCCTGTCAAACCATTCATCATCCAAAGTAGTTGCTTCAATTTACACTTTTTAAAGGCAAGGTAGAAGATGTCCTCTGTGTCACCTCTTTGATAATACTTGACATTTTCAGACTTGAAATTTTACCCAATCTTGTGGCCGTGTAATGATATCTCTTTGATTTAAGCTTACATTTCTCTCATTCCTAAGGAGGTTGAGTGCCTCTTGATAAATGTATTGGCCACTTGGATTCCCTGTTTTGTGAAATACCTAGTCAAGTATTTTGCCCATTTTTGTATTAGGCTGTCTGTTCTTCATATAGATTTGCAGGAGGACTTTATGTGTTCTCGATGAGTCTGTTGTCAGTTATATGTGTTGCAAATATCTTCTCCCACTTTCATTTTCCATTTCACTCAAAAAATTTTTATAGTTCCTTTTTTTAAAAATACGGGTGCCTAATTTTTCCAGGATCTCTTGTTGAAAAGATTTCCCTCACTGTCCTCAGTGCCATCATAAATCAAGTGACCATAAATGTGAGTTTGAGCCTGGGTTCTCTGTTTCATTGCCCTGTTTGTCATTCTTGTGTCAATACCGTCTTTTCTTGGGTGCTGTGGTGTATTAAAGTCTTAATATTCAGGGCATCCAACATTATTTTTCCTTAAGAGGGTCTAGGTTTTTCTCTGCCCTCTGCACTTCCAAATAGACCCTAGAGTCAGCTCATTAAGTTGCACAACAAAAATGAAAAACACCTGTTGGGGTTTGGACTGGGATTGGGGCTATCTATAGAACAATTTACAATATTGAGTCTTCCAATCCAAGAACATCCTAGATCATCCATTTATATAGGCCTTCTTTAAAGCTCTTCAGCAAAGTTTTATAGTTTTATGGTTTTCTTTATTGGGCCCTGTAGGCTTTTTATTTTTCCTTGGGTACTTGATTTTTTTAAGCTATCATAAATACTACCTTTGGCTTTTGTTTTTAATTTCATTTTCCATTAGTTGCTGGTAGATGGAAAGGCCATCAACTTTTGTATAGTAGCTTTATATCCACAGTCTTGTTAAAGAAATTGTCTCTTCCTTTCCAATGTTTATGTTTTATATTTCTTTTTCTCGCCTTACTAGACTCTAGCTGGTTCCTCCAGTATGAAATGGAACAGAAGTGGTATGAGCAGGCATCCTTGTCTTACTCCTGAGAGAAGACATTCAACAAACATTTTAACATTAAGTATGATGTTTGTTGTTAATTTATTGTAGGTAGCCTTAATCAGATTGAGGAAGTGACTTACTCTTTTTCTTTTTCTAGAAGTTGGGTTTTTTTCTTTTTTCCCTCCTCTGGATCTTAAATTTTATCAAATATTGCCCTTTTGGAAAGGCACTTCTGCATCCTGGGAGCTGTTCAGAGTAGGTGCCACCTCATCCATTCCCCAGTTTGTGGTCTAAGTCCAGCCGCCTGTCCAGCAGACCTACTTCTTAGCTCTGGTCAGTGTTTTATTTTTACCACCGGGAGCCCAGGGCTGGGGTATGAGCAGAGCCTCGGAGCTGCTGGAGCTTTGGCCCTAGAGCTGCAGGGTGCAGGCCTTCTCACCAAGCACACCTTCCACCACCAGCCTGGACTCCTATAGCTCACTGCTCCTGGAGGGAGTGGGAGGTTGAGGTTAGGAAGGGGGTCTGGACCCGGAGGGTGATGGTATTTGGGGGCACATTGACCGGTCCTGCATCCAGCAGCCCTCTGTTTGGAGATACCCTGAAGGCCACAGGGTCCTTGTCCGGCTCCTGCTGGCCTGCACCGAGGGAAGGGAGCACCTCGAGCATAGGCAGCGCCCCGGCGAGTCCCCCCTCCGCCGCTCAGGTGCGCACCTCTGGTCCGGCCCGGTGCCACGGGGCGAGGCACCGTGGGGTCACATGGGATTTGGGAACCGGCCATCTGCGGCAACCCCCAGGTGGTGCCGGCCTGCGGGGGAAGTGGTGCGCAGGTACCACCTACCCATCAGCACAGCCCAGTAGCTCCGACAGCCGCTCAGGTTCATGAGGTAGACCTCCCGGACCTGTCCCTGGTTCACAAAGCAGGTCCCGAAGTCCACCCAGCTGGTGGAGAGCTGCAGCTCGGGCACGGCCACCGTGGCCCTCAGGGGCACCACCTAGGGGGACAGAGCCTGCAGTGTGGGGCCCTCGTGCCCTCCTGCTGACCCCAAGTCCCGAAGCTTCGGAGGAACACATGGGCAGCACCACAGCGAGTGGTAGGGGGCTGGCGCCGGCCTCTAAAACCACGGCCGGTGGGGGTCTGCGCCGGTAAAGGCTCCCAAAGACGCCATCTGCTCTCCCTCCGCCGCCCCTCCCCCTGCCCTGATCAAGCTCGGTGGTTTCTGCTCCCTGGTCAGGCTGCCCTCCCCCTCCTCCCCCAGCCCCTGGGGTCCCAAGGCCCAGCCCTCTGCCCCTCCTGGGCTCTGGGCCATCTCACCTCTTCCCTTGGCCTCAGGCCCCACCTGTGTGCTGACCCGTCCTCACTCCTGGTGGTCCCCCCACAACAGCCTCAGGCACCGCCACACACACCTCATCAGCTCAGCCTTCCCGCCCCTGGGCTCCAGCAGCCGCCCAAGAACCAAGCTGGAGGGCCTGCCTGGTCACAAACGGATTCTTCCTTCGGGCCTCCCTGGAATCCAGCCCTTAGGCTATTCCTTTCTGTTCCTCACCTGTACCTTCCAGCTGGGAGGCTTCACGTGCCGCGCGCACCTCCTCCAGGAAGCCTTCCCTATTTCCCACCCCAGGGCCCCTCACCTGGTTCTGAGCTGAGCTGGGTAAGGAAGGATGACCCTCATTTCTCCACGTGTGTCCTCAGGGAAAGGCCTCTTCCAGGGCAGACCGGGCCCTCAGGGCGAGGCCTGGGGCTCCTCTGATTTCGGAAGGCCGGGTCGGGGTCTGCCCTCCTCTGACCCACGGGAACAGAGTCTGGCCCGTTTCTGCCCTCTCCGACATGGGGCAGGCCTGGGACTCACCTGAGTGGTCTGGTTGGCGTACTCCAGGAGCAGGTTCTGAGTAAACACCATCTCTTTCTCCCCACTGGTGCGCTGCCGGATGTCCACTCCGGGCAGCATTTGGTCAGCCGGGAGCCTCTGATAGGAGAGCAGCTCCAGGGACAGCGAGAAGGACACGTTCACCTGAGCAGATGTGAACACGCCTGTCACCTGAGGCTGCCGAAGGCCAGCGGCGGCTTCCCCACCTGGAGCTCCGTCGTCCTTCCCTCCGCGGCCCCCACTGCCGGGCAAGGCCCCAGCTCGGCTCCTGCCCACACGCAGCCTGCGGGGCCAGCCCAGACTGAGCCGGCCCGGCCCGGCCCCCGCAGCCTGTCCGGTGCATTTGGTCCACAGACACGGCGCCCCGCTCTGTGCCCAGCACCCTTAGTGCTGGGGACAGGGCCCTGCCTGCCCTCAGGAGCTGAGGACCTCGAGGGGGAGACTACAAGCAAACCACCCTTTACCCCTTGGCATGACCAGGGCTGCGGGCAGGACTGTTGGCCAGGTACTGCCTGTGTTTTTATCCTGAGGACAGTGAGGAGCCTCTCTTATGGGTTGTAAACAGGAGGATGTCCGAATCAGCTTTGCCTTCCTCGGAGGTCACTCTGGCTGCTGTGGGGAGGTTGGCAAGGGGACACAAGAGTCAGGGGGCCGAGGTGTAACTTGATCCAACAGGATGAGGCTCGGATGTGCGGCTTCTACACAGGTCAGCGGACCTAGCTCAGCAAATGTACCTAATACACTTGTTAAAATACAGATTCCGGAGCCATCGGGTCAAGAGCAAGTCAAAAGCGCAACCTTTATTAAGACTTTGAAAGATTTAAGGCTGTGCCTCCTAGACCCTTTCAACCAGACCAGTTTAGTAGAAGTTTCTGGGCAGTGTTCTATATGTGTGCTGTTCAACACAATAGCCACTAGCCAGATGTGGCTAGAGTCTTAGCGCTTTTCTTTTCAAGAAAAAGGAAAGACTGAAAATGAATGAGTTAAGTATTTCAATGTAAGAAGTTAGAAATAGGATAAACATGCCCATCAAATATATAATGAAATGATAAAGAGCAGAGATTAATGAAATACAAAGGCAAAGAAGGCTGAAAGTTTGTTATTTGAGAAAATTAATTATGGAAACAAATGGAAAAACCTCTGCCAATAAGAATTCTTTAAAAAGAAAGAGAGAGAGAATGGAAAAATAAAGAATATTAAGAATTAAAAGGGAAAGTAGGGGCGCCTGGGCGGCTCAGTCCTTAAGTGTCTGCCTTCGGCTCAGGTCATGATCCCAGGGTCCTGGGATCAAGACCTGAGCCAAAGGCAGACACGTAACCGACTGAGCCACCCAGGCACCCGACATGGATGCATTTTTTTAATAATTTTTTCTTATTATGTTAATCACCATTCATTACATCATTAGTTTTTGATGTAGTGTTCCATGATTCATTGTTTGTGCATAACACCCAGTGCTCCACGCAGAATGTGCCCTCTTTAATACCCATCACCAGGCTAACCCATCCCCCCACGCCCCTCCCCTCTAGAACCCAGAGTTTGTTTTTCAGAGTCCCTCGTCTCTAATGGTTCGTCTCCCCCTCCGACTTACTCCCCTTTCATTCTTCCCCTCCTGCTATCTTCTTCTTCTTTTTTTTCTTAACATATATTGCATTATTTGTTTCAGAAGTACAGATCTGTGATTCATCAGTCTTGCACAATTCACAGTGCTCACCATAGCACATACCCTCCCCAATGTCTATCACCCAGCCACCCCATCCCTCCCACCCCCCACCACTCCAGCAACCCTCAGTTTGTTTCCTGAGATTAAGAATTCCTCATATCAGTGAGGTCATATGTTACATGTCTTTCTCTGATTGACTTATTTCACTCAGCATAACACCCTCCAGTTCCATCCACGTCGTTGCAAATGGTAAGATCTCATTCCTTTTGATGGCTGCAAATATTCCATTGTGTATATATACCACTTCTTCTTTATCCATTCATCTGTTGATGGACATCTTGGCTCTTTCCACAGTTTGGCTATTGTGGACATTGCTGCTATAAACATTGGGGTGCACGTACCCCTTTGGATCCCTACATTTGTAACTTTGTGGTAAATACCCAGTAGTGCAATTGCTGGATCGTATGGTAGCTCTATTTTCAACTGTTTGAGGAACCTCCATACTGTTTTCCAGAGGGGCTGCACCAGCTTGCATTCCCACCAACAGTGTAGGAGGGTTCCCCTTTCTCCACATCCCCACCACATCTGTCGTTTCCTGACTTGTTAATTTTAGCCATTCTGACTGGTGTGAGGTGGTATCTCATTGAGATTTTGATTTGGATTTCCCTGATGCCAAGCGCTTTTTCACGTGTCTGTTGCCTATTTGGATGTCTTCTTTGGAAAAAATGTCTGTTCATGTCTTCTGCCCATTTCTTGATTGGATTATTTGTTCTTTGGGTGTTGAGTTTGATAAGTTCTTTATAGATTTTGGATACTAGCCCTTTATCTGATATGTCATTTGCAAATATTTTCTCCCATTCTGTCGGTTGTCTTTTGGTTTTGTGGACTGTTTCTTTCGCTGTGCAAAAACTTTTTATCTTGATGAAATCCCAATAGTTCATTTTTGCCCTGGCTTCCCTTGCCTTTGGCGATGTTTCTAGGAAGAAGTTGCTGCGGCTGAGGTCGAAGAGGTTGCTGCCTGTGTTCTCCTTTAGGATTTGGATGGACTCCTATCTCACGTTTAGGTCTTTCAACCATTTGGAGTCTATTTTTGTGTGTGGTGTAAGGAAATGGTCCAGTTTCATTCTTCTGCATGTGGCTGTCCAATTTTCCCAACACCATTTGTTGAAGAGACTGTCTTTTTGCCATTGGACATTCTTTCCTGCTTTGTCAAAGATGAGTTGACCATAGAGTTGAGGGTCCATTTCTGGGCTCTCGATTCTGTTCCATTGATCTATGTGTCTGTTTTTGTGCCAGTACCATACTGTCTTGATGATGACAGCTTTGTAATAGAGCTGGAAGTCCGGAATTGTGATGCCGCCAGCTTTGCTTTTCTTTTTCAAGATTCCTCTGGCTATTAGGTGTCTCTTCTGGTTCCATACAAATTTTAGGATTATTTGTTCCATTTCTTTGAAAAAGGTGGATGGTATTTTGATGGGGATTGCATTGAATGTGTAGATTGCTCTAGGTAGCATTGACATCTTCACAATGTTTGTTCTTCCAATCCATGAGCATGGAACGTTTTTCCATTTCTTTGCGTCTTCTTCAATTTCTTTCATGAGTATTTTATAGTTTTCTGAGTACAGATCCTTTGCCTCTTTGGTTAAATTTATTCCTAGGTATCTTATGGTTTTGGGTGCAATTGTGAATGGATCGACTCCTTGATTTGTCTCTCTTCTGTCTTGTTTTTGGTGTATAGGAATGCCACTAATTTCTGTGCATTGATTTTATATCCTGCTACTTTACTGAATTCTTGTATGAGTTCTAGCAGTTTTGGGGTGGAGTCTTTTGGGTTTTCCACATACAGTATCATATCATCTGCAAAGAGTGAGAGTTTGACTTCCTCTTTGCCGATTTGGATGCCTTTGATTTCTTTTTGTTGTCTGATTGCTGTGGCTAGGACTTCTAATACTGTGTTGAATAGCAGTGGTGAGAGTGGACATCCCTGCCGTGTTCCTGACCTTAGGGGAAAAGCTCTCAGCTTTTCCCCACTGAGAATGATATTCGCTGTAGGTTTTTCATAGATGGCTTTTATGATATTGAGGTATGTACCCTCTATCCCTATGCTCTGAAGAGTTTAATCAAGAAAGGATGCTGTACTTTGTCAAATGCTTTTTCTGCATCTATTGAGAGGATCATATGATTCTTGTTCTTTCTTTTGTTAATGTATTGTATCACGTTGATTGATTTGTGGATGTTGAACCAGCCTTGCAGCCCAGGGATAAATCCCACTTGGTCATGGTGAATAATCCTTTTAATGTACTGTTGGATCCTATTGGCTAGTATTTTGTTGAGAATTTTTGCATCCATGTTCATCAAGGATATTGGTCTGTAATTCTCCTTTTTGATGGGGTCTTTGTGTGGTTTTGGGATCAAGGTAATGTTGGCCTCATAAAATGAGTTTGGAAGTTTTCCTTCCATTTCTATTTTTTGGAACAGTTTCAGGAGAATAGGTATTAATTCTTCTTTAAATGTCTGATAGAATTCCCCTGGGAAGCCATCTGGCCCTGGGCTTTTGTTTCTTGGGAGATTTTTGATGACTGCTTCAATTTCCTTAGTGGTTATAGGTCTGTTCAGGTTTTCTATTTCTTCCTGGTTCAATTTTGGTAGTTGATACAACTCTAGGAATGCACCCATTTCTTCCAGGTTATCTAATTTGCTGGCATAGAGTTGCTCATAATATGTTCTTATAATTGTTTGTATTTCTTTGGTGTTGGTTGTGATCTCTCCTCTTTCATTCATGATTTTGTTGATTTGGGTCCTTTCTCTTTTCTTTTTGATAAGTCTGGCCAGGGGTTTATCAATCTTGTTGATTCTTTCAAAGAACCAGCTCCTAGTTTCGTTGATCTGTTCTACTGTTCTTTTGGTTTCTATTTCATTGATTTCTGCTCTGACCTTTATTATTTCTCTTCTCCTGCTTGGTTTAGGCTTTATTTGCTGTTTTTTCTCTAGCTCCTTAGGTGTAGGGTTAGGTTGTGTATTTGAGACCTTTCTTGTTTCTTGAGAAAGGCTTGTATTGCTATATACTTTCCTCTCAGGACCGCCTTTGCTGTATCCCAAAGATTTTGAACAGTTGTGTTTTCATTTTCATTGGTTTCCATGAATTTTTTAAATTCTTCTTTAATTTTCTGGTTGACCCATTCATTCTTTAGTAGGATGCTCTTTAGCCTCCATGTATTTGAGTTCTTTCCGACTTTCCTCTTGTGACTGAGTTCTAGTTTCAAAGCATTGTGGTCTGAATATATGCAGGGAATGATCCCAATCTTTTCATACCAGTTGAGACCTGATTTGTGACCTAGGATGTGATCAATTCTGGAGAATGTTCCATGGGGACTAGAGAAGAATGTGTATTCTGTTGCTTTGGGATGGAATGTTCTGAATATGTCTGTAAAGTCCATTTGGTCCAGTGTTTCATTTAAAGTCTTTATTTCCTTGTTGATCTTTTGCTTAGATGATCTGTCCATTTCAGTTAGGGGGGTGTTAAAGTCCCCCACTATTATTGTATTGTTGTCAATGTGTTTCTTTGCTTTTGTTATTAATTGCCTTATATAATTGGCTGCTCCCATGTTAGGGAGATTTATTTATTTATTTATTTCTCCCTCTCCATCTGCCTGCCACTCTGCCTACTTGTGCTCTCTCTCTCTCTGTCAAATAAATAAATAAATAAAATCTTTAAAAAAATAG